TTTCCAATAATATATGTTATGTTTCGATTCTTATTGTATTTTATTTTCTTTATCATTTTTTTTGGTGTAAATCCGATAATACTAGTAATAATCGAACAGGTTAAATGTAACTTTTAGTCAATGTGGGATCACTATTATCATAATTAATTAAGTTGAATATATTAGTAGTTATGGTGAAATTAAACATGTATACAAGGATAAGAGATATTAGGTAAATTGATAGTTTGATACGAAAATGTAGGTGTAAGGGAATAAAGACTACTACTACAATTATAGTACAATGATGTCTATATTGGATTCTTATAACTTTAATTTGGTGGTGTTTGATTGGTTTGTTATTTTTCTTCCAATGTCAGGGAAGTTGCATACAAGACAAAAGAGCTCAAAAAGGTTGCTTTTGAAGGTTTATTTGATCAACTGCTACAATCCTACAAGAATATTATTGCTCATTAATTCAAGTAAGAGTGAATTACATCTCAATCTCAATTTTTATGTTTAGTTTTAATTCTTTCTATGGTGTTGTGTTACTTTTATTTTAATTTTCAATCTACAATGTAGATTTAATTTTTTAAAAAACTTAAGCATTGCTAATTTGTCTATTACATGTGTATGAGTTGTTTGATTAAAAATTTTAGACTATTTTGAAAGATTTCATGTGCATTCATGAATTGTCTATAATAATATACTTATTATCTGAACATAAGAATTTTAAGTAATATGTGCATCATTTTATCATTTGTTGAGTAATATGTGATGCAATTAAATATAATTTTGGTGAGCCAAAAATTTATGATAGTTCTATTATTCATTAATTACAGAACAATATTGAATTATGGGGGAAGATATAGGTTAGATGTATATAGCTAGAAGATTGCCTGAGTCTGAAAATGGAGTGATTAATTTTCTTAATGCATCATTTTTAAGGCAGCTCGAGGGAGTCAAATTAGATTTCCATGTAAGAGGTGTAAAAACCGTTATTGTTATCGTAGAAATGAAGTGTTTGATCACTTGAAAGTCGAGGGCTTTGTTGATAACTACTATGTTTGGACTTTTCATGGGAAGGAGCCACTGCCAAATAAACCCAATAATGTTTCAAATGAAAACGACTCAGGCATGCATGACAATTTTAATTTTAATGAATTCTTGCATGATCATTTTGGAGAAACTATAAATGACACAAATAGAGTACAAGAAGGACCAAACAAGGATGCTCAAAAAATTTATAAATTAGTAGAGGAAGGCAGGCAAGAGTTGTTTCCTGGGTGTAAGACTTTTTCTAAGTTGTCTTCCATAATCAGGCTTCTTCTCTACAAGTCCCTACATGGGCTTAGTAATGTGGCAATTGATGACCCTATTAAATTTTTTAAAGAGTTCATACCAAAGGCTAAACTTCCTGCAAACTTTAATGGAGCAAAAAGTATTGTGAGAGATTTGGGGCTCGATTATGAAAAAATATATGCATGTCCCAACGATTGTATGTTGTACTGGAAAGAGCATGAAAATGATGAAGAATGTTATGTATGCCATGCCTCTAAGTGGAAAAAAGAAGACGAACACCATGAAAATGGGAGCATAAATCCTTCTAAGAAAAAATCTCGAATTCCAGCCAAGGTCTTATGGCACTTTCCATTGAAACCTAGGCTTCAAAGACTATATATGTGTTTAGATACGGCTAAAAACATGAGATGGCATTTTGAAGGGCGTCTTAAAGATGGAGATCTGCGACATCCTGATGATGGATTGTCATGGAAGCAATTTGATGAAAATTATCCTCATTTTGCAAAAGAGCATAGAAATATCAGGTTAGGTTTTGCTAGTAACGGATTCAATCCTTTTCGAACGATTAGTATTTCACATAGTACATGGCCAGTGGTTCTTATTAATTATAATTTGCCACCTTAGATGTTTATGAAGCAAGAGTACCTAATGTTGTCCTTGTTAATTCCTGGTCCAGAATCTCCAAGCAATAACATTGATGTATATATGCAGCCCTTAATCGAGGAGCTCAAAGATTTGTGGAATGATGGAATTCAGACATATGATAAACCTACAAATCAAACATTTCAAATGCATGCTGCCTTGATGTGGACTATAAGTGATTTTCGAGGTACTCTATGCTATCAGGGTGGAAAACTAAGGGAAAATATGCATGTCCTTGTTGTAATCATTAAACTTCCCATTATTCCTTAAAAAATAGTAAGAAATTATGTGATATGGACACTCGAAGATTTTTAGATGAAAAGGGATCGAGGTGTAAAGGGAATTGTATGATTTTGTAAACTCATTTGGGAAAACCCAAAAAAAGAGAAATGATCCGGACTTTCATTGGAAGAAAAGGCCAATTTTATTTGATTTGCCTTATTGGCAGCATAATTTATGTCCTCACAATCTCGATGTGATGCATATAGAGAAAAATATTTTTGATAATGTGATTGGGACTTTGTTGGATATTAAGGGGAAGTCTAAGGATCATGTAAAAGGTAGATTTGATCTTTTAGAGTTAGAATTTAAGAAAGGATTGCATCCTCAACTTTCAACTGATGGGAAGCATGTTTTATATAAAAAAGCATGTTTTTCTATGTCTTCTAAGGAAAAATATATTTTCTGTCAAGCCTTAAAGCTAGAAAAGCTACCCTATGGTTGTGCATCTAATATAGCTCGTTGTGTGCGATCTTCTGAAAGAAAAGTCAGTGGTTATAAAAGTCATGACGCACACATCATATTACACTATCTGCTTCAAGTTGCTGCCAGAAGATCATTACCTAAGCACGTAGCTATTCGTCTTATCATATTGGGTGCTTTTTTCGCAATTTATGTAGCAAGGTTATAAAATTTAAAGACCTTCAGCAGTTGCATAATGAAATAGTTGAAACAATTTGTGATTTTGAGAGGATTTTTGTACCATCATTTTTTGACATTATGGTGCATCTCCCTGTCCACTTAGTAGATCAAATCAAACTTGGTGGTCCAGTGCATGGGCGAATTATGTACTTCATACAGAGATTTTTAAAAAGATTGAAGTCATATGTTCGTAATCGAAGCCATCCAGAGGGGTCTATTGCAAAAGGATATTGGTTAGATGAATGTTTGGTATTTCTTTCACGATATATGGAAGATGGAGTAAAGACCAGATTGCATAAATTTCCAAATGACTCCGATGTTCAGTTAAATAATGTTGATTTAGATGTTCAAATTTTTAGTAATGAGGGTCATCTGATCCATTAGGTGGGAAAAAACGAAGGATAGGCAAGTTGTTCACTTTAGATGCTCAATCTATTGAACAAGCACATCGATTTGTGCTTTTTAATTCAGACAATGAAGATGTTAAGGAGTATATCCAGTGAGTTATTGTCCTTAATTAAGCAATCTGATAATATTTTTATCATAAATATAATGCTTGTTTTTAACTAAAAAAAGTTCTTTTGTTTTTTTAATACATTAATTATGCAGTGAACATGAAGTCTATATCAATTGTCAATCAAGAAAAAGCAAATGAGCTCAGGCACAAAACCATAGCAATGAATTTGCCAAGTGGTTAAAAGACAAAGTACTAACTAGTAATGTCCCTGATCATATATTTTGGTTGGTTAAAGGTCCTAGTGCTACAACAAGAAGATATACAGGGTATTATGCTAATGGGTATAGATTTTACACCAAATCACGTGATTCTAGATGCAAGACTGAAAATAGTGGTGTTAATTTGACAGCATTTACTCCTAGCTTTGCAAGTACTAGGGACAAAAATCCAATCATGGGAAATGTTCTTTACTGTGGTTCCATATTAGAAATAATTCAGCTAAATTATTGGTCAAAGTTTCATGTTGTTTTGTTTCGATGTGCGTGGTATCAGGTTAAAAAAGATGATTATGGACTTCTTTGTGTGAACATGAATAAGTTTTGTTCGATGGATGATTCTTTTTTTATACCTTCTCAAGTGCATCAATTTTGGTATGCTCCAGACCCTATAAAACATGGGTTAAATTATGTGATGAATGCAATCCCGAGAGATTTTTTTGATCACGAGGGAAATGGTATTGATGCTGAATATTCATATTGGAGTGAGCCTTGTGAAAACAGTCTTGCTTGTTAAGAAAAATCCGAAGATGAAAATAATAATTTGTCAAGGGAGGATTTAGCAACCACAGTGGTGAATGCAAAAGCAACTTTAGATGATCTTGATGATTTAGGTGAGGAAATTCATGATGATTCAGATTACGATGACACATTATGGGATTGGATGCGAGCCGAAGATGACGATGAGGATGTTAATGAGTAGTATACCATGTTTATTCATTTAATTATAAATATATATGTATATATATTTGTTTTTCTAGAAGGTAAGGACATTATATTCTTAGTATTCAACTTGAAAATTTCAATGTTGAGGTTTACGTGGTTTTTTTTAATTTATTTAACTACTGTCATTTGACTTGAATGGCTAAAGTTAGCACATTATAGATTAAAACTTAATATAAATTATTATTATATTGAATTTGGTTACTTGTACAGATTTGGAATGGGAAGAATAAGAGAGGAGCACTCCATAGAGACAAATATGAACCCATACAAAAGAAGTAGAATGTTAAGAGTTCAAGAAAATAAAGCAAGACTGATGCAATTCGGAATAAAGGATATTATCAAGTCATTGACAAGTTTAGTGGATAACAGAAATAAAAAAAAAGGAAAAAAAGAGCAGAGTCCTTTCATAATGAGGAAGATGAAGACAAATCCTTGATTTAGATTTGATTGGTGAAGAATGCCAAGAAGAAGAAAGTGCAACAAGAGTTGCAACTCCTAAAAAGGTGGGAAGAAGTTTTTATAAAGTTACTAAATTGTATTTTTATTGTATGTTTTAATTTTATTTAGAATACAATTACTAGTGACTTATGTCCAGTTATCTTATCAAGTCAGTAAGGGAAAAGTTCAACTTCACCAGTATTTGCCACCTATGATGATGAAGAAATATGCAACATTGAACAAACAACAAAAATGAGGGGGTCGTGGTAGGAACAAAGCCCCTAGCGTAGAAGAATTGATTTTGAAGAACAAGCATTCAAAAATTCAATTTCATGAAGAACTCTCACAAGAGAATTCAACACAGAAGGATTTTAGTACACATCAGCAAATGTTAGGCAATGTAAATCAATTATTGAATTCAGGTAAAAAATTTTGTCTAGAGTTTTATTATTATTTTGTAAGTGTAAACTTAGCATAACTCATTGGGTTCATTTTTTCCATGGCTTAAACTGAGTAAAAAGTTGGTGTGAATGAGAGTGATAGAGATGGCCATGTAATTGGAGTTGAAAGTGAAACGGAACAAGAAATGGAAGGTGAATGTGAAACTGAAGGAAGTGACAACCTTGAAGATAACAATGATGATTGTCCCGACAGCTTATCTCGATCTAGAGTTAACATAAATGAAGCTGACAATAGCATAACAGAATATCGTGTCCTGAATAGTAAGTTACAATCAAAAGGTTAATTTCTTTTAATAATTGTCATATAATTTATTGCAAATTTAACTTTTATATTCTATGAACTATTATAAATATAGGTACTACAGAAGTGAACAAAAGAGGACCTACTATGATGCATAAAGTGCACATGCGACCATTTGAAAATCGTGAAGCAATTATTTTGAATGAGTTTGGGCAGCCTATTGGACCAGTTACACCTGAAAAAGATACACCAGGCGAATTTTCTCGATTTTTAGGTACAATTGCTCGTGATTATGGTTATGTGCCATTAATATATAACTCTTGGCATTATGTGTCCAACAAAGAAAAGATGTGGGAGTATGTTTTGGTAAGTTAATTGATATGGGTTAATGCACACTAATAATATTTACTAAACTAAAATTATCAAATTCATATCTAATTTTTTGAAAGTTTTTCAGACAAAGTACATTGTTCTAGAAGAAAGTAAAGATTGGGTGTTAAAAACCATGGGTGCTGCATGGAGAATACACAAGTGTCGATTCAAGAAAAAATACTTGTATAAGGATAAGGACAACAAAACCAAATGGAATAATCGACCTAAACGTGTTCCAGATGATGATTTCAAACTTCTGTTAGTTTTGTGGAACAAAAAAAAGAGCAGGTAGCTATTTTATAAAGCTAAGTAGTTTACATCACAAATAACATAATCCTTGCAAGTAATACTTTGCTTTCAAACTATATACAGGAACTCTCTTCTTCTAATCAAATGCGATGCAAGTCTCAAAAGAATATGCATAATGCATGCTCAAAAAGTTTTGCTAGGATTCGAGAAGAAATGGTAGAATATGTTTCACCTCAGTTGTTGTCTTTTTTAATAATCTAAGTTTTATTGTTAAAAGTTAGTTTATTCATTGTAACTTATTAAACATAACCTTAGCTCAACTATTTGAGCGCACTCGAAAGAGAGATGAAAACAAAACATATGCTGATACGTATGAAGATACAACAAAAAAATTGTAAGTGTAGTTGTTTTAAATTTATTACTTATACATTTATGCATTAAAATTTATTGTATAACTAACAACAAGTATATTTATGTTATTATTATATAACTATATAGGATGCTATGAAGAACTATAACCCCTTGAAAATGAAAGTGGCATTAAGGATGCTTATTTAGCTGTTATGGGCAAGGAATATGTTGGGCGTCGACGACTTTATGGTAAAGGGGTTAGCAATAAAGTTTTGAATAATACTTCACCTTCTGTGGCATCATATGTTGTGCCAGGTGAGGTTATAGATTCTTTAAGGGCTGAAGTTATTGAAATAGAAAAATTGCAGCTAGTTGATATGAGAAAGAAGCTTGAAAAAGAGTATGAGAAACGGAAGACAGAGCTTGAAGCAAAGCATGCAAAGAAAATGGAAGAGTTTGGAAAACAGAAGGAGACAATGGTTGATGAAATTCTAGAGAAGCTCATGTCAAAACAACAACCAAGTGTTGTTAAACAATTTCTAACCTAATGGTTCAATATAAAAGGCATGTATCTGGTTGTCTAATGCCCTTTTTCACATATTTTGTACTTTTTACATAAAAAAAAAAGAAAAAAACCTTGTATAAATCAATAATAAGAGGAAAATATATACAGTCCCTTATTTTAAAGTATTTAACTATATCAAATTAAATTAAGTCTTAGAAATTCAAGTTTTGTATACAATTAATGCACATATTAGCTAGAAATAATAATGAATGTTAATAAAGTATTAGATCATTAAATGCTTACAAAAAAAAAGTATTAGATCATTAAATATTATATTTGATTATAATGTTGTTATTAGGTGCTTCTGTGAAATACTTGCCTTCAAGTGTTACTTATGTTTCTAATTATTCTTAAATTATGTGTGGAGGACTTACATTTAATATTTTATGTCTGGAAATTATACTCTTTAGCCTTTATTGTAACCTTGTAGTAAGATTACATAAAAAAGGATAAAAAGTGTTTATCCCAGGAACACATTTATTATAGTAAGTGGAATGCTTAATTTGATATAACTAGAGGGGTAAATTCTTATCTAAGGATTTTTTTTCTAACTATGTAACAATTATATTGATTCTATCCTTAAATTTTATTTAATTTTTTTCACAGGTTCCCTTTGCTATTATGGCGTTGGACTTTTGATTAAAGTGGAGTACATTAGAAAAATGATTATTATTGTATATCCCTTTGGTACTACTTTTGCTAAAGAATTGTGATGTACCATTTTGGACTTTTGCTAAAGAATTGTAATTGTACCATTTTGGACAATTATTATATATGTTTATATTATGAAAAGTTATGTAAAATGCTTTTATGCAGTACATTAGACAATTTAAGTTAACAATTATATTTTGCATGCGTGTGTAAGCAAAACAATTTTAGCTTTCATTAGAATATCAAAATTAAATTCCAATTTAAAAGTGTTGCTTTTGAATTCGCAAAGTGTTGCAAATTTATGGAGGGAAACTTTGAGTAAGTGATGCAATAGGTAATAAAAACGTTGCATTTTTTCGAGGAAATTTTTTAATAAATGTTGCATTAGATATAGAAAAACGTTGCCATATAGTGTTGTTGGCAAGTGTAAAAGTGTTGCATTAGGGTAACAAAAATGTTGCATTTGTAAAGTGTTGCACTTGGGAAAACATGCAACGCTTTTCTAAAGTGTTGCATTTGATTTCAAAAACTGTTGCATCAGGCTAATGCAACGGGACTTAAGGCAGCACTAGATAAAACGTTGCTTTTAGCTTTAAGCAACATTTTTATACCCTAACGCAACATCTTTTCAGTGTTGCATTAGGTTCTTTTTGTAGTAGTGGGATGTTAATGATGCTCCCCAAACCCCTAACCCTCACTTACATGATCTTCCCTTTACCTCTTCTTGTTCTAGCATGATTCCAAATGAGTTTCCCTATGTATCTAGAGAGCATTTTTGTGAGGGTGATTCAATGGGACATAGAGAGGAAGGAGAGTTGATGGAGAAGCTTAACGAGTTGATGAGAAAGGAAGATGAATTTAACAAGGAGATAAAAACTAGGATGGAGGAACTTGAGAGCCAAATTTCCCACCTAGCTCAATCCCAAACAAATGCCCTTCCTTCTTCTCCCCCATCCCATATGACAGAACCTAATTGGGCTTTTGAGTTCATGGTTGAGGATGATTATGATGATGATGTTGAAAGCGATAGAGGGTTTATGGAAGATAATTCATTTAATGAAATTTTGAAAACCACCCCCTTTATCCAACTTGAACCTCAACACTCTTTGCAACCCATTGAAGATCCCATTTTGGTGGACCTAAAAATTAATTTGAGGTTGGTAAGAGAAAATATGGGTTGTGGTGATGATGAGATACTCATATTTGATCATGTTAAGTTGGGGAATGTTTATAATGAAAACCATGCTCTTGTTGAGAGTGAAGAATCCCAATTAGTGGTTGAGGATATTTTTAAACTTTTTGAAGTTAGTGAGGATGTGTTAGAAGGGAATTATTTGGAATAAAAGGCTTGTGTTTCAATGCAAGGTGGTGTGATTGAAGTTGTGAGTGAGGTACCCATTCCAATTCTTTCAATCCCAACCCCCTTTTCAAGAAAGCTTACCAACATTCCTTCTTGCCCTATCTCACTTCAATATATCCTCAAAGTTCCACAATTTGAGGGGCCCCTAATCTCTTTAGCTCCCAATTATCCCTCTTTTGAACTCAATGATGTGATTACACCTCCAAAAATGCAACAAAATGAGTTTTCTCCTCCTTTTTCTCTTCTTAGTTCTAGTTTTGATTTTTCTAATTCTTATTTTCTTGATTTTTCTTTTGATTCTTTTACTTTTTCTTTTCTCCCTTCTCTTAAGCATAAAGTCTCCTTGTACTTTATGTTTGCTTGTCATATGAGCATCGTGTATGCTCTATTTCTTGATATGTTTGTCGGTGCATATGACAAGATTTTGCGTTCTTTGTCGGGTTATTTACTAGATTATTCATGCTTGGACGTTAAGCAAGCCATTCTCGGGAAGTAACCAGTGTTTTATTGCTTTCATTTTCTTTTCTTTTTAGAATATATTTTCTCTCATGGAAATGTGTGTGTGCTTTTTGCTAGGTACATGACTTGATATACTTTGGTGCATTGGTTTGGATCAAGAATCAAGGAAGATTGGAACCACAATTGCTAGCATATGGAAGGCCTGATTTGATTCTAGAGGAATTTAGTTTTGGAAGGTTTATTTGGGTCATTTGCGGGTATTTACACCCACCTAATACCTGGTAATATCTTTCCTTGCTTTTTCTCTAATGGTTGATGCCTTGTTGGACATGTGTTGGTTTGTTGATTCGATCTCTTCCTTTTTCCCTTCCATGGATTATTTGGTTTATGTTTGAGCATGTTGCCTCATTCAAGCTTAGGCTAGGGTATTCTATCATTTTTTGTGGGATGTTGATTCATATATGCCATGCACTTGAGTATATGCATTTCCATGTTTTTCATGCTTTTGAAAAATCCAAAAACATTTTTGTTTACTTCAAGGAAAGTTTAGCAAAATTGTATTTTGTTTGTTCTTAATTGGAGATTATATCTTTTGGATTTGTTTACTCTTGAATGCCTTTCTTTCTAAGTGGTTAATGTGTGCACGATTTGAGAGTGTCATTGGTTGACTCTAGGATATTACATGCTAAGGTAGTCGGGTTAAGTACTTTTAGGAATCCATGAAGCCCTAGTTCACGGGTATGTGGTAAGATGGTGTTGCTTTCTATAGTGGATTTGACACCCTTGGTTGGTATTTGACTAGTTATAATCCCTTGTGAGGTAACATTGTTCTAGCCTTCATCATTTTGTTGTGTGGCACATTTGGATCCTTATCTATGCATGTCTTGATCCTTGTTTTGACTTATAGCTCCCAAGATCGTGACCGAAGCACTCTGGGAGAGGAAAAGGGCACCTCTTTCTCATTTTTCTTAATCTTCATTTTGTTTTGTTACAAGGTTGATTTTCTGTTTTGCATCCACCTACTTGCTAACCAATTTGAGCCTTATGTATGTTTCCCACTGTTGTTTAAACCACATTACAAACCTAATGACCTATGTTTACCAACCCTTTTAGTTAGTGAAGTATTGGCATGTGAGGTTTGAGTTTTGAGAATATTGATCATAAACAAGAAGCACTTTGGGATTTGGTTAAAGTTTAGCTTGTAATGATATGCAAGAAAAATTTAAAAAGAAAGATGCAATTCAAGACAATAAAATGATGTTGCAAGAAAAAGCCGTCCATAGTTAAAAAAAAAAAAAAAGGCAAGGACATCGAATAAAAGTTTAAAAAAAAGAAAAAAATTGGAAAAGAAACAAAAATAATAAAAAAAATTTTGTTGGTTTCGTTTTCTTCCCTAGTTTAAGCATCGAGGACAATGCTTTGTTAAAGCTTGGGGG